CACCAGGACCAGAGCGAGGGCCACGCAGGGTATGTTATTATCATCATCACTCTTGCTGCAGTTAGAACTGCCGAGGATCCCACTAGTCAGCACAACTTTCAGGCAAGACCAACCAGGAGGGGCAGTGCAAGCCAGGCAGGGGCTTGGACCACGGAGGGGTGCTTAGCTAGGTCTCTAGCCTCTGCCAAGGACAGGGGACTTTCAGTTTTTGCAAGTCAGCGACAACAGGCCAGCAGGAAAACCAAATAGTCCTGTTCTTTCCCTTCGGAAGCCTAGTCAAAAAACAGAACACAGGTGTTTGCCCCAGAAATGCCATTTCTGGGCAGGATGCCCAGGGCAGAGAATCACAGATGTACAGAAATCACACTCAGACTCTCTGGCCAGAGGTGTGAGAGGGACAAGGCAGAAGTTAGACTACCAGAATGTCTAGTGACCAAGGGGGACGGTTATCATTTAGCCTCCCTTTCCCCCATAGGGACTGGGTAGAGAAAGTAGAGTTCCAGGTCCAGGGATCTGGGACAAGTGTGAGCAAGGCTTTGCCCATGCCTGACATACAGCAGTCCTAGCTCCCAGATCTTCAGGGAGGAGAGGCAGAGCTAGGTAGAAACCAGGTCTTGGCTGGGTTAGAGGGTCTACAGGGGCTCCCAGAGATGCTGGGCTAGGGTGGGCAGGTTGGGAAGCTGTGGGGAGATAGTAATAGGATAGGAAGCAGACAGATCCAAAGACAAGACTGGAAGGGAATGGGCTGCGACTAAGGCCTTTTCTAATGGCCACATGGGCATGGCCAGAATTCATGCTGGTCTCCAGACCTGGATCCAGTCCCTGGATCTGGGACCACTAAGGCTAAGTACTCTCTGCTAAGAGCACTTGGACTTCCCCTAGGCCTCAGGACCAAGTGAAGGAGGGTGTCCCCTGGAAAGAGAGGAGAGACAGGGAAACAGAAGAGGCTACTGGTAAGGGGTCTGCTGCTGGAGTGGAAAAAAAACTTGGCCTGGTCCCACCTTGTCCTGGCAGCCCTTAGACCCCCCAAAGGGTTTCAGGACTGGCCCTCTTGGGCTAGACACAGGCCCCTGGGCTCCTCTTGAGTACTGTAGCCAAGTTGTCCAAGATGAAGCCAAAACTGAGGGTTCACGTCTGAGGGCCAGGTCTCTCCAGGTCATTATTGTCATCAGACTGGGCAATGACTATATGAAGGTGGCCTGCCCAAGGTCTCTCAGTGAATTGGCAGCGGCTGTTCCCTGAAAGGTGCTCTTCAGCAAGGATGGGGAGGTCCTATCTAAATGACCATCACTGTAGCTCACACTCCTAAGTCTGAGAGGGGCCATCAGGGTTGTGCTTTTCCGGGAAAGGGAAGGAAGGGGAGGGAAGACGCTGAGGATCCACCTCTCCTGGGTGCTCAGTGTGTCTTATAGGGAAGGTGGCACAGGTTCCCCTCAGGCAATATGAGGAGGTATTGAGACCCATACACAAGCCCTGGGGTGTGCTGTGGTGTGGTGTGGTGTGGTGTGTGTGTGTGTGTGTGTGTGTGTGTGTGTGTGTGTGTGTGTGTGTGTGTGTGTGTGTTCGTGTGTATGTACACATGCGTGGGTAGACCAGAGGTCAGTGTAGGGTGTCTTTTGCAATTGCTCTTTCGCTCTATTTTTTTGAGACAGAGTCTGTTACTGGCCAGTGAATCACACACCAATTCGACTAGAGTGGTTCGGCTAGCAGGCTCGAGGGATCTCTTGCCTCTGCCTTCCTAGCTGGGACAGCTGGTACACACTACAGTGACTGGCATTTATACGGATGCTGGGGATTGGAATTCAGGTCCTCATGGCTAAACCATCTCATTTTCCTAGCCCCAAGAACCATCTCCTAAGGCTTGGACCCATGAGGCTGGCAGTCAGGATTCAGGCTCTGGACATAGAGCAAACAAGTTGGGACCCTCTGCTCACATGTGACATCCACTTCCACAGGGCCAAGTCCTCTCACTGTCAGCTCCTGGCCACGTGATCCAGCCCTTCTGACCCACCCTGAATGACCACCTAGCCTCCTCCTCATCCTGACCTGAACACTTGCTCTTCAGGCCACTTTCTACACAGCAACTAGGACATCTGACAGTGCCGATTAGACCCTGACATCCTTGAACCGGAAGTTACTCCGGGGCCTTTTGGCCTCTTAAGAGGTCTCCTGTGGAAGGGAATTGCTCCCATTGCTCCACCTCCAGGCCCTCAGGTGAGAGGGTATGTGGCCAGAGAGCACAGAAGCCCTGCTGCAGACAGTGTCCTTGGAGGTGTGTCACAGAAGCCCTGGAGAGGGGGCTGCCCACCTAGGCAAGGTGGATTCCTCATGTGGCCCAGTTAAGAGACAATGAGGATAAGGCCCCTAGAGCTTTTAAATGCTGGGATTTAATGTCCAGGTCTGGGAAGGCTGATGTCACTCAAGGCATACACAATGAGAGGAGGTTGCAGAGACAGGCTCTCTCCTTCATCAGTATGGGACCTGCTTGGACCTGTTCAGCCTGAGAAATGAGGAGGCCTGGCGCATGCTCATGAGTGAGTGTGTCTGGCCTCTCACAGGGCCCGAGGGAGAAAAGTCTCCAGACTGATGGAGAAGGCAGGGCGTTGAGAAAAGACAGCAGGGTGAGGAGTGACTTACTCCCTTGTAACCCTCTGCCCCACTGTGAAGCTTCCTTGGGTCTGCTAGGTCTCTGGCATCAGACAGGTCCAGTCCAGGGAGGCTTCAGAGACAGAAAAATGCTGTGTCTTAGTGCACAAAACAAGCAGGGAGAAAGGTGTCAAGAGCCAGAAACAGATGCTCTTTCTGTACCAGGGCTCCTGTTAACCTGCTCCTTAGGAAAGCCAGACTCCCACAGACCCCGTGGCTTCTGTTTGGTGTAGGTGTTGATGACCCAGGTACAGCCATACTGAGACACAGAATCCCAGCACCTGAGTTTTCTGGGCAGTAACAGTGGCAGGGAGAGGCTATGTCCCATCGCGGCTTGCTGCCACCCACCACCCGCCCCATTCAGGAGGCATGAGTGTTTTTGATCTTGAGGGTGGCAGATAGGTAGAGTGGCCCCTATCCTAAAGGCTGTCTCTCCCATCTCAGGCTCAGAGGAGGACTCCCCTAGGGAAATGTGCATCTTTTATGTGGTCTCCTTGTTCCCACACCCCCTCAAGGTGACTAGTCTATAGTGCTTCAAGTTCCTCTTGGTATCCAGCCTTAGTCACTCTTGCTATTGCAATTGGATTCACTTATCAGAAGGCAAGTTGATGGCCCCATTATCCTGCCACCCAGGCTGACATCACAGAGCTTTCCCTGGGGCATGTTCCCATTCCTGGGACTGCCCAGCCAGCACAGGAAATGGCTGGTGCATGAATGTGCCAGTGAGTAAGTGGCTTGCTTGATCCTTCTACCATGAGAATGCTAAAAAGCGGCAAAGCAATGTAATTCTTTGGGTTCCTGGGGAATCGTCTGAAAGGGCAGGGACAGGGACCTTGTAGGGCTAAGGGTCAGGGGAGCCACAGGGTAGAGCAGCTGAGGATGCTGCCTCAGAGCCAGTAGTGTTCGCCCCAAGCTCAGGGGAGGCTGGTGGCTGGGGGCCCCAGTCAAGGATGGGCTTGGCACGAGCAGAAGCCATGGGATGGAGGTTCGGCTGTGACAGGACAGAGTAATAGAATTCATAGGATTGGAGTCTGGGGTCCAGAGCTGCATGGTCTAGCCTAACGCTTCACAGCAGGGAGCCAGGGCACAGCCACTCAGCCTTAGCCAGACACTGTGAAGGAGGAATTTCTATACAATGAGGATACTGAGGGTCAGAGAGACTACTGGGCTTAGGTTCCATGGTTGGGAAATGATGGGGCTGGTCCCCTTCGTGTCCTCTTAAGCCCTCAGTCCTCAGCTTGAGGAGTCTGTTCAGGAAATGACTGCTGTTCCCACCCCCATAATGTCCTTGGGCACACTGGCACTGCCAGGCACTTACTCGGCCTGTTAAGGGCCCAGCCCCCAGCCAGGCGCCCGCGGGCTTCCCCAGCCCCAGGCAAGGGCACTGAGAGGGAACAAAGGCGCAGTCTCTGCCTTCTCAGACACCCACCCCTGCCTGCCCCTGGCACAGAAGAACCATGGCCCTGAAGAACTCTGACAGCAGAAGTAGCAACCACCCCTTCGCCAATACTGTGAGAACCCCCACTTCTCTGGCCCTAGACGTGCAGGGCTGTGGGGCCCTTTAATGTCCCAAGCACTGAACTGAGGCTGCCAGTCACAGCAGAGTTGAGCCACTTTTGGTGGCAGAACCTGGCCTCTCTCTGTCACAGGCCTAGCTGCGAAGATGGTGGCCATTCTGGAATTCTGTGAGCAGCAATGAGACAAGGTCAGAGAAGAGCCTAGATACAGAGGGAAAGTCCTGGGAGGTGAGGCTGTCCTCACTTCTGGCCCTGCCTACCCACCCTGCACCTGTGTACACCTGCCGCAGGTAGCGCCTAAAGGGATTGAAGCACATCTCCAATAAGGCGGCTGCTGCCCACTGCGGCCGCCACTCACCACTCACCAGAGCCACTCTCTTGCTCCCAACTGTTATTACCAGGGGGAGTCCCAATGGAGGCCTGAGCATGCCCATACCCTCACCAGAAAAACATGTGCTCACCATGCCAAACATAGGAAGAGCTTGGTATCTCTGTGAACTTGGCTCTTCTTAAGTTTTTTCAGAACAGGGTTTCTCTGTGCAGCCCTGGCTATCCTGGAACTTGCTCTATAGACCAGGCTGGCCTAGAACTCAAGAGATCCACCTGCCTCTGCCTCCCAAGCGCTGGGATCAAAGGTGTGTGCCACCACTGCCTGGCTTGACTCTAAAGATGGTGACAAGAGAAAGAGAGAGACTTTATCCAGAAGCCCTGGCTGCTTCCTCCTATACTGGAGCACCTCCTGGCAGACTCTAGAGAAGATGAGGCCCATTCTCATGGGAACAGGTCACACTACTCCTGTCTTACCTCCCCAGGCCCTTATTGAACACCACAACTCCATTTAAAGAAAAAATAATATTTATTTGCAATATAAACAAAGTCCCGTTGCTGGCTCGGGATATAATATATATATATATATATGTATATGTGTGTGTGTGTATGTGTATGTGTGTGTGTGTAGGGTCACAAATTTTCCTTCATAAGATCATAAAGCAAAACTGGCCACCCTCTCTGGTATACACTCATTTACACTCTGATCCATCTTTCTGGGCTTTTCTTTTTAAAAATGAGAGAGACAGAGAGAGAGAGAGACAGAGACATACCACATACAGCATGGAAGTTTCTTGTCCATTTCTCAACTGTGGCAAGATTTTAACCTGGTGCCCTAAAGAATCCCTGAAAACCACCCCTGTGAGGTAAGATGTGGTGGGGTGGTGTTTCTGTGACCTCACTCACTGCCTACTGCGGGTGCTGGCTCCACCAGGACCCCAGCACCCCCACCCTTCCCATTTCTCATGGTTTCTGATAAGAGTCTTGAAAAGGAATAAAACTGGAGGAACATTATAGAATCTGTGGCTGTGCTATGGATACTGAGTAGCAGACAGAACCTCACACTCCCTCCACTGGCCTGTCCTTGCCCCACCTGCCCCGCCCTTAAGTTGCCATGCATATAAAGTTGCCTGCAGGTAAAAGGCATGGGCAACACAGGCCAGGGCAGGCATGCACCTAGACAAGGGGGCTGGGAGTTGTAACTGGATCAAAGCCACAGTGAGGATTAGGGAAAAGACCAGAAGGCAGGGTGTGCCCACCACCCATTCTTTACCCAGGTACTGTGGGGTCTCTATTCCCAGTCAGAGACCGAGATGATGACACAAGTTGTGGGGAAATTTATAAAAAAGCTGAGCCCACGTGGCTAATACTACTGCTTGGCATTTCCCTGTGGCACCGCCTCCAGCAAGACCATCACAACCTGCCTCAGAGAGGCCTGCAGGATTCTCAGAAGGTGGCTAGGAGGACAGACAATGCAAAGACCACCAGTGCCCACCAAGCACAACTCACAGCAACTCATCAGTGCAAATGCAGCACTGAACTCGGCTGGGCCACAGGTTAGAGATGGTATAACCAGGGGTCCTGATGCCTGGAAAGCAGCAACCCACCCCCCTCCCAAGAATGGCCTGCTGGGAAAAGAGAGGCTTCACACATGTGCAAAATGCATTTGGTCAAGAACATGTGGTTTGTCTTTTCCATTGAAAACAACAACAACACAAAAAAACCCCACAATGGTTGCTTTTTGAAATAGGAAGAAATGAAACTGAGAACATCTCTCTCTCTCTCTCTCTTGCAGATTAAGAAAGGGGTGAAATATTGGTTTATACAATACACTGTTGCATGTAACCTGAAAAATAACACTTTTTGTTAAAAAAAAAAAAAGAAAGAAAGAAAAGAAAAGAAAATCAAGAAGAGCTTGAACACTCTGTGCTCCAGGGAGCTTGGATTACCTGCCAGAAGTAGTAAACTCAGGTCTGTGGATATGTCTTTAAAAACAGTCACAATGGCTGGGCTATCAGCAGAATGGATGTCCTGGGGCAGACACAAGGCCCCACTGGCCCCCCAAGCCACCAGTCTGAAAGTTGAGACCAATGCTCACTTCAGCAACACATGTCTGGAAAGCTGAAGCCACAACAGCAAGTGCTACCACAAGCAGTCTTGCTGTGGGCCCTGCCCAGGACAACGTGGGAGCTCAGTGACTGCTCAGCCCGGTCCTCTGGACACAGGTAACATCTGTGCATTCTTCAGGCCAGGGGAGCAGCAGGCTAGGGCCCCCCCATCGGGCCCTGTGGAAGGCAGGGGGACCCTGGTGCTGCGCCCATTAGTGTGTCAGGCCTCACGTGGACTCGAGGGTGTTGATGGGGAACAGGTTGTGGTTGGTGGGAGTGGAGAAGTAGAGCTGTTCACTGGGTGCGTGGTTGTCGCACGGGCTGCTGAGCCCCAGCGTCCGCTCAAAGTCCAGCAGCTGCCCCATGAAGTTGAAATTGGGTGAGATGTTAGACTTTTTCCTCTTAACGAAGTCGTAGGCGTCGTTGAGGGACAGGTTCATCTTTTGCATCAGGTAGGCTACAGTAACTGTCACTGAACGGCTGATGCCTGCAAGGCAGTGCACCAAGACACCGCACTTCTTGGATCGGGCTTCATCTGAAACATAGGGACACGGGTCAGGGCAGAGCTATCTCCAAGAAACCTCCCACCCAAACAAGTGGGCAGGTAGCCACAGTGCAAGGCTGAGGTACATGGGACCACCAGCACAGTCTGATGCTTGAAGGGCCTGATAAAACCCAGCACAGATGGCGTGGTAGAGGGCAATACCATGCTACAGTTGAGCCCTGGACCACCTCTGTGCCTCAGGGTCTTCCTCTATGCAGCCTGACTTTATTATTCTCGGTGCTTTTGTAGGGACCTGAGCCAAGGAAGGGTTCATCAAGAGGGATGAACCACTGGGATCACTACTAGCCCCACCATGGCTACAAGTGGTAGAAAGGGCGTCACCCACATTCTCTTGATGGCACCACAGCCAATAAATCCATTGTGTCAATGTGGAAACAGATGCAGAAACAAAGCGACAAGGCCACATACACAGAGGGTCCTTCTATTTAGCACCCACTCCCAAAGGGACTCCAGAACATCCTGGAATGGTGGTTTGGGGCAGGCACCCGTGGAAAGAAGTGGGTGCATGGCCATGTACTCTCCAATCAGCCCCAAGGCCTTAATCCCAGCTCCTGAAGACCCAGGGGTGAGAATGACATCTCCTACCTACCACAGCCAGTCCCCTTTCCTCCTGCCCCAATCCTTCCAGCTTCCTCCAGGGACATCAAGGGCACCTCTGCCTGGCATTACATTATCAACTCTACAAATACTGACTGCGCTACTGAACAGCGGCGCTGGGATCTTCTCCTCTAGACCCCACAGTGGCAGCTTCTTTCTGTAGCACTGCTGCCAAAGACACGAACTAACAAGAGACGGTCCCAGGGCCCGTAAGATCCCTGCCTCCAAGCCTCCTGGAAGCCAGAAACACAGTAGGCAATTGATAACTCTCCTGTAAGACACACTTGTTCACCAAGAATTCTTTACTGTCTCTGGCCTGGCCAAGTTTCCCCTCATCATCTCCGTTCATCTGAGGGGACCTCCTCCTAAGTCGACAGTGGGACTGCCAATGGTTCTGGTACTGGGGGCAGAATCGGCATGAGAGGTAACAGATATGGCTCTGTAAGAGTCAAGTGGTTTGATTTGAAATTTGGGGAAATGACAAGAAAAGCCCTAAACACAGCAGGGTCACTCCCAGATGACCCACACTGAAACTTTTCCTTGGAGCTTTCAGAGTGGCTCAATCCTGCCTTACTCAGTTCTAATGGGAGGCTGGGGCCCTGATTCCATCACTTGTATATAAGGGGAACCTTTCCCTTCCACCTCTGTATCCTGTTTTGTTTCCTTGTTCCTCACCAGAAATGGAGAACTTTTAAGAATGAAACCACCCACAAGCTGGGCCTTAGTCCTGAGTAACCTGGGGCCCCTCTCTGCACCCCTCCTTCTTTGTGGGAGCCCAAACACTGAAGTAGCACCCCCAGAGTGCTTGGCTCTGTCCCCTGGGGCAGGGCTGGAAGCTCTGGGCAGCCCCTCCCCCAGGCCCTAGCTTCCTTCCTTCCTCCTAGCCCGGGCACCTAGTTTTGGTTCCCAGTAAGCGGATGAGGCGGGGAAGCCTCCCACTTCCTGTTGTTAAAGTTAGCCCAGCCCAGCTGACACCAAACGCCCTCAGCTGGACACAGTGGCCATCAATCTGGAAAACACTGCCCAGGATCTCCCTCACCCTGCCGCTGGAGGCTGGGCAGAAACAGAAGCACCAGGCTCAAAGAGCATAGGGTTTATGTTTATCCCGAGCCTGTGTCCTTTCCTGGCTGTCTGGTTAACACTCGAGGCCAGAAGAGATGACCTCCAAGCCAGCTGGCCAAGAAGGAAGCAGGAGGGGAAGCCTGAGTCAGCTGAGGTCAGGGATGGAAGCCTTTCTCAAGCTGTCTCCACTTTCTTCTATGTAGGTAGCTAAGAGCATCTGGGTCCCAGAGAGGCACTTGGGGGCATCACATGTCCGAAGCTGCCCATTTGGGGTCAGTCTGGCTCCAAGGCTACTTTCTAGCCCTTTCAGATCCACAATAAAGCCCAAAGAGGCATCATGACAGCCCCATCCTGAAGAGACACATGTGCCGAGGCGTGATGCCGAGCAAGTGAGACCCGTGGGAGTCTGTGAGCTGTGATGTTTCAGCCTGCTGCGCTTGAAAATACAGCAAAGCCAGAAAAACATAGGTTTGGACCACAGAGAGCCCAGGAGGTGCTGAGAGCTGGGGGAGTCCAGGATTCAGGGGACTGCTCAGGTTCTAACAGGTAAAGGGGCCCGAGGGACTGGGTGAGTCACAGCAAGCATGGGTACACCCACGGGCACACGCTGGCACATGCACAGCACACACAGGTCTTGACAGGCCCAGAAGTACCCAGCTGGGCAGGGGCGACACCCAGTGTCCCTCACACACCTTGCCTCGCCCACCCACCCACTCTGCCCAGTGCACAAAGACACTCACCGATGAAGCTGATGGCCTCCGGGAAGAACTGAGAGAGGTTCTGGCTCCAATGGTCAGAGATGGGGATCTGCTTGTAGGTGAACTCGCCACCATGCTCAAAGGCATTGGGCAGGTTGGGTGTGACATTGAGGATATATTTGATGCCATACTTGCCAAGTACATCCAGGTTGGTAGAGTCCTTGGCACAGCCGAGGTAGAGGTAGGGCAGGATCTGGACTGGGAAGGCTGGCTGGCTGGACGGCACAGGGCTGCCATCCGACTCAGTGGCACTGCTGGGCAGCTCTCGGTCTGACTCGCCATCAGAGCAGTCAGAGCTGATGCGCAGGCCCCCCAGGCCCAGCACGGAGGTGGGTGGTGAGCCACTCGGAGAGGACGAGCTGTCCACATTAGTCTCACAATGCTCTGAGTATTCCGTCTGGAACTTGTTGAAACCACCTGTGGCCAGGGCAAGATTGGGGTCTGGTGAGTCCAAAAGGGACACAAAGGACTATTAATGGCCAGGATTCCCCATATCAAAGGCCACAGCATGTCCATGTCAAAGGACAATGGGACCATGCCAAACACATTACACAGGCACCCACTCATGTATTCTTGCCATCAAAACGAATACCACTTCTAAGATAAGGAAAATGGGGCCTAAGCTCTGAGCCCTTTCCCATAACCCTGAATACTGCCCATGCCACATGATACAGAGTATATGAGGACAGGGCCCACTTACACCTAACACACCTGAGTGAGTACTCAGTAGAAAAACCACCGATCGCATCTCAGGCCAGCACCTGTGGGCTAGCTAGCCAAGCCCTATTCCAAAACCAGAGGAACCAGAACACATATGGGCCAGTCAGAGACAGGGAGCCTGAGCAACCACACTTGTAGAGGGTGGTGTGAAGTGAAGACACCACCGTTGGTCCTTCCCCCCAGCAAGAGGAGAAATGGGTACTAGTGATCCACTTTTCTCTTGGAGCCCTTCTCAACACAAGCACCCCCTCCCCCAGCATGTGACCCACAGAGAAGGGCAATGGGGGCTACACAAGGACAGGAGAGACAAGGAGCACCATGCAGCTAGCAAGGCATGGCCCTGCGGCACGGCACCCTCGGGTGCCGCAGGACTCCCCTCCCCTCCCAGCCTGTCTGCTGCCAGCAAGAGGCCATTTTGGAATGTTAATTGGAAACACCGGCTGCAGCCACTAGCCCCCCTGCCGGCCGCCTGCCAGCCTCCCCCTTCTATAAACTCACAGGCAACAGACTGAGGACACCCACCCTCCAACACACACACACCTGGGCCACTGCTCACATCCTGCCCAAGTGCCTCCAAGAAGCCGCAATCCCGGTTGGTAGGGGCTATACTGGGATTCCAGAGAAACCAACACAAACGACCCCCAGGCACAGGAGGTTGGGTGGGACTGTGAAAGGTGCCTTCCCGATCTTAGCCTTCTAATGACACGAATTCCAGGCTAGCCTGTGGGCCCTGATCCTTTCTGGGTTCCAGCAGAATCTCTCCCCTCCCCGGAGGAGCTCAGCGGGAGCCTGTGCGCTGTTGTCTCCCCATCAGCAGGGAAAATAAATAAATAAATAAATGGGAAGGGAAAAAGTTTGTTTCAGGCACTAAATGGTGCTGAGAAAGAGGACACAGATTGGGTCCCCCTGTGCCTGGCTAAGCCCACACCTTGGGGGATGGCTCCCAGAAGAAGGGCGGATTCGGGCCAGGGGCGACGTGGCGCCCGGCCTGGCCAAGCGTGTGGAAAGGAAACAGCCTGCAGCTAGGGCGCCAGGGAGCAGCGGCGCAACCCCAATGCTGTCTGGGGGTCTGGGTTCTGCCCTCACCTTGGAGGTAGTAGGCCTGGCAGCCGTCGTCTCGCAGCTTCTGCAGGAGCAGGCCGAGAACCGAGGCGGGAGCACCGGGCTCGGGCTGCCACTCAGCCGTGGCCTCGTCGTAGAGCAGCACGGTGGCCGCCTTGCAGCGCGTGGCGAAGCGCTCCTTGTCGGCATGGTTGGGAATGATGGAGCGGATGGGTAGGTTGCCCTTGCGCAGGCGGCGCAGCATGAGACCCGGGATGGCCAGATTGATGGCCGTCTCGATGTGCGACGACTCGAAGAGCTCGTGCGGCCGG